AATTACAAACATAAAGGTTGGCACTAAATTGAATCTGCTGGGAAGACATCAAGGATGCTCTAGACTTTCAATAAAACGTGAACATATTAGTCTAAACTGGAAATACTGGGAGCCAGTTAGAGTTTTAGTTGGTGCACAGTGCACTCAGAAGGTTTTGTCTTATTACGGCTGAGAATATAAAATTGTGCATGTAGAGGGGAAGACATTGTTTTCAAGTCTTGTCTTCGGGTCTGGCTTTAAAAGTCAGATACAGTTAATAAATCCTACCAATTAATTGTTCATTTTTATAGTGTCATCATTATGTCATCATAGTGCTGTACTGACTAGAGAGGATGCAATAAAATAATCGATTTATGTTTAGTAAACCAAACTTTTATTTTAAATTAATTTGAAAATAAAAAGGAAAAACAGTGGGGACCAGTGATTACTTATTTAGGCACAACCACAGCTTACGTGCCCATCTGTCTGGCTGCTTATTGGTTGACGTAACAGGCTGCTGTCTTCTGTCAAATACTGAACACAGGCAGGCCAAAGAGCCATAGTCACTGTAGATGGCTGCCGCTTAACTAAAATGTTGTTTTTAGATCTTAAACACCATAATCCTTATTTTTTATCAACTCTTCATAGTGAAGTTGTGTTCCAAGACTGGATGTATCCCATATATGCTAACAGTTTTTTTTGTTTATACTTTGCGGGACTAAGAGACAAGCCTCATCTTTAGTTCATAGATGTTAGAGTCCCATCTAACGCCTTGAAAAGAATAAAACTCATTTCTTTGAGTGACGTCTTGCTGTAATACTTACCTGTGAGCTTTTATTCTTGTTTTCAAAGCATGCATTACCATTTAATGTGTTCATACTATAAAGAACGTGATATTCTTTGGAACATACCTTCTGTGGTACTCGTATAACATGTTTTCCTTTAGTTTATAATTTGAGTCGTATAACTCCAATATATATTTTCACTCAAGCAGTAAATTACATTGTTTAGTTATCAAAGGCTTTGTGTAATTACATTTGTGCAATTCAGGATGACAGAGCTGATAGTGTCTGCACAAGACGCTGGCATACATAATCACAGGCGAAATCCCATTAGGGAGGATGGAGACCATTATTATGGAAATGACCTTTGGGTGACAAGAATTCAGGGGGATAAAAGAATACTATGTAATCCTGACAAAGAGGCTGTGTGAAGCCACTTGCTCTTTATTTTCTCTTGTGCAAATTTAAGAAATTTATGGTGTTTTATGAATGTGCAATTGTGTTTTGTAGTGTCACATTCCTTTTTGTGTGTGTGCAAGAAGCCAGTTAGTCTGCTTGAGAAGTGAGATTTGGCAGTGCATTGCTAATTTCATCCTGCCTTTCTGGTGTGTGGTACTGTGGGTAACTGCAGGGCCAAGATAGCAGAAGAAAAACTTTACGATGTGTTTGTTTCTCCCTTTTTTTTCCCACCGTGGCATCTTCGTTGAGAACTTGCTCACCTTGGGATTACTGGATTGTCAAACTGAATCTCCGTCTGTTTGTTTTGAGCCACGCTTTGATACTCTCACACTAAAGAGGCAGCTTCATAAATTCACATTGTGTCAAATAAATCAATAGATCCTATTAACTGAGGAAGTTGTGTAGTGCAGTACTTGAGGGACTGTGCCCCCCCCTCGTTCAGGCATTTCTCCAGCAAAGGCAATGGCAGAGGAATGTAAGGTTGGCTCTTGATCCATACAGACAGCTCCAGCAACAGAAATGGTTTGGCTGACTGGTCTCAGTTGGTCTTTAGTGTTGTCTCCACTGTGCTGCCAGCCTGGGTCTTCAGCTGAACAAGAAGAATGAATTTGCTTGGACATTTCCAGCCTTACAGTGCCAACCTCCTGGTCAATCAGTTTGTAGTCCTCATGTGACTTAAAGTTTAGTGTTGCAGTATTTTTATTTTATATTTTATTTAATAAATGTCTGCTTTCACAAAAATGATACAACAAATATTCTACACCTACAGCCAGATTTTAATTCTTTACTTCACTGGCACGAGATGAATAACATGGCAATGTCAATTCTAGATGTACATATAGTTTCAGGCAAAAATATGTTAGATCACCAAAACAAATGTCCAAAAATGCACAATGGAAAATACACCAATATTTTTACTGATATTTTTACCACACAGAATCGATCTTCCTGAATACAACTTTAAAAAGAAATAACATGAAAGCTTGCCTGAGAGAGTTCAGGCTGTGCTGAAGAATAAAAGTAGTCAAATATTGACTTCCAAGCTCATTAGAATTGTACAAATGCTGTTTGTGCCTTAAACTGTATATTATATTTCTGTTTGTTTGCACATTTCAATAAATTACTGCACCTACTGTATTTCCCACTGTATTGTACCTGTCTCATCTCAAAGTACAGTCCCTTACTTAAACCATATCTGTTGTGTTATATATTATTAGGCAGCATAAACAAATACATCAACCGTATATAAAAGGCTGCATTCACATGTAGGATAAAGATAAAACTCCCCAATTACGCGTATTGATTTTAGCACGGCTTTTTCCATCACAGCCGGGATAAGTGCACTCTCCTACACCTCCAACACCTACTGTCATCAGCTAGGCACATTCTTTTTGATTTCGCTGGTGTAAAATAAACTCTGTGAAAGACATTATGTAACATACTTTTGCACATAGCCTCTCTCCTGTATTTATCATTTTTAGAAATGATATAAGCTCGGGTTTCTTCATCCGCTGTATGTCTTCCTCCATATTTTCTGTCTTATTAGCCTTTGATTTTCACACTTCACTTGACCTTTTGTTCTAATGATTGTCCAAAACAGCAGAAATGACTGGAAACCTAGACCGTCATCGCACTGTTCCAAGTTCCAGCCTTATAACATAGATGGCTCATGAGATCTAGAGAAAATAATGACAGAATTTAACTAACAACGTGTGACCTTTGCACTCTGTCATTATAATAGAGGCCGGTTTTTGACTCTAGGAATATCTGTCTGCTCTCACAGGAATATTGGAATATGTCTAAAAGAACATGTAAAATTACTCCTTACCTTGTGTACTAGAACAAGTAATTTATAGTCGAATGTTATGCTATTTTCACGAATTCGGATTGTTCGCAGTAGAGAATGACAGGAGGATGAAAGGGAATAGAGCATGACACGTGCTGTAGTTGAGAGCCAGACTCAAAGCTATACCAACGTGAGTACATGGCATGCTTCCCAGCCCACCAAATATCAGAGCGTGCTTCAGGAGATCAAATTAACCGCATAGCTTAAGTTAGCTTGAGTCATTTTTACTGTTAGTGAAGTGAAAATCAGTACTTTTATTTTCTAAATGTGTAGTTTCTGGATGAATGCAATGCAACAGTTTTGTAAATAGCAATCATTAATCAATCAGCAATAAAAATAGTTGAATATGGTGCATATAGTATATGAAGTGTTAGTACCAATAATGCTGCATTTATTGTAGTTCTTGGAGGTTTAGCTGTAGTATATAGAGAATTGCATTTGCTAGACATCATTTTGTTTACGAGATGAGATGCACGATCGAAGCTGTAGGTGCTGGAAGAACAAAAAAAATGTTAAAGACTTCACAATAAAAGAGAGGTGTTATATTGTTTTCTATTGTGTAACAGAACACAATGATGAACACAAAAGGGATCATGATATTGCTTCTAAATCTCATTTACCAAACTGAAAATACAAAGTGAGAGTCTTGGGGAAAATAGCAGACAGGGTTAGTAAAAGCTCACAGCAGATTGATCTGTGCATACAGCTTAACTGTATTAAAGCTCATAATCCCTGTAAATATCTTCAGGCAAGGCAAAGTCAGCCTTTTAACATTGACTAAATGAAGTAAATAGAAGCAAATACATTTTTAAAATTTGCTTTTCTGTTGAGCCCCTGTTCTTTATATATAGAAGCGAGTTGTGTGAGTTGGCTGCTAATGAGGCTTGCACATTTTCAACCAAGATATTTTGATGGTTTTGCCACCCTGCCGTTTGGGGGTAACAGTGAAGCTCGCTTTAAATGTAGAGCGTCTGTTCCCCTTTCGAACCTTTAACACCACAACAGATGGGGAGAATATGGAGCTCGGAAGGTTTTACCTCTGAGGTGGTAACAGTGAAGCCACTCATTAACACTGAATTTACCACTTCGTTAGCAATGCAGCTTCCTGTAGAGAGCGACCAGCCCTGGATGTCAAATCCACTGAGCATATGTTTCAGACTAAATCTGCTCTGGACAGAAAAATATAATCTGTTATAAGATCCAAAATGCACATTTGTAGTTGTAGTTATTTTTAATAGCTCAGAGCTATTTGGTTTCATACTGTCCAAATAAATATGGAGTAACTGTGCTTTCAAATCAGCCACTCTTAAACGAATTTGTATGCCTGTCCACGTGTATGCGCCAAAGTGTATGTTTTCTTTGTGTGAGTCTGTGTTTGTATTTCAGACAGATTGTGTGCCTGCCAATTTGTCAGGATTCAAGTAACAACAGTCTCATGCTGGGATCTGTGTTGGCACCATCACAGAGTGATAAGACGCAATATGATCTCATTGGAGGTGTACTTTGTTCCCATGGAAATTGGTCAATTTTAGCAGGCGACTGAGAACTTTAGGTGGAGAAGCAGGAAGGTTGTATCCCAGAGGTACGCTCACATAATTAAGCATCCTCACCAGGGTATTCAAGGCTAACAGCAGGGTTTGTTGTGAATAGAGGTGGCGAAAGAGGGTGTTGGAAAATCATAATGCGGCACAGAATAATACCACTCTCATTTTACAGAGCAGTGGGAATAGCCCAAAAGGAAAAAAAAAAGATTTTTTCAACAACACCACATTGTCAGTGAGAATGAGAGAAAAAGAATTAAATTTTACTATTTTATGTGCAAGAGTTATCTTTTTCTATTTATACTGTGTATACGTGTAGATATGTATAAGACGTTGCACGCTTTATTTGACTCGCTCAAAGTTTGCAGAATAATTTTCTTCTTCATATTTCAGAAAGTATCGCTGCTATGTCTGATCTGAAGCTGAATGCGCAAGAGGACAAAGACGTGGAATCGGTGTCTGACAGCCCAGGTCGTACTCGGGAGCCATTACAGCCTCACACATTCTCCCCGAAGAACAATGCTGCAGGTCTGTCCTCAGATGAACACGAAAACCCTTTAAATGGAACCCAGCCGAATCCATTTGTATACAGCAGTGTCCCTGCTGTTCCCCATGCAGGCAATTCATTGCCTTCAGGAGCACTTGTTAATGGACCTGGTTCACACCCAAACTCAGAAGTACACTGTGTCCTGAACAAAGGCACTGTTTTATCCAACAGTGTCCTGGATGCCGTGTGGCAAGCGGAGAAGGACACGAGCCCCGAGGTGTTACCACCACCTAGTGAGCTTCAATCAGACGCTTGGAAGAACACAGTGGGACCCGACGTAAAAACACCGGCCACACAGCCAGGTGTCAACACGCCACTGTCTCACTCGGAGGAGAATGAGTCTAAACTGGCCTATTCCACGCTGTCAGGTGACAGTGCAGAGCAAATGCACATTAGCCAACCTTTGACAAAACAGACAATAAAAACAAGATCTCCACGGGACATGGAACGGTCTGGAGTCTCCTTGGATGATTATGATAATACTGAAGTAATCAGGTGGGATTCAACAAGAAAATGCTTTTTGCACAACGACAGAAGGCTGGAGACCAAAGTGATGCCCCAAAGAGACAAGAAGCACAATACACACACGAAAAGCATGTTAGGCTGTCTTGAAAAGGTTAACAACAGCTACAGACATTTCTGCAGTGGTAATGATGTTGAAAGTGTTGACACTGGCAACAAAGATGAATTTCTGGGTACACAATCTGACATTAAATATTCAGTTATGCCATTCAAAGACCTTTCTCGGAACATAGCTTTAGACTCTGAGAGCCATATTTATAGCACAGCGCAGGGAGGCAGTAATGAGGAAAATGACCCTGAAGATGAAAACTGTGTTAGTCCAAAAGTGGAACAGTTGAAGGCAGAGCAACTTGAACGAGATTCACTTTTCTTTTCATGCACAACATGCAATGTTAATTTCAAGGAAAAAAGACATTTCCATAGACATATGATGTATCATTTAGGCAAGCATAATCAGGTGAACAGTGAGAATGATTCACAGCCCTTTATATGCGGAGAGTGTGGGCTTTTGTTCTGTGATAGCAACTCCCTCATGAGGCACATCATTATTCACCAAGATAGGCTGGAAAAACTTATGGAGGAAATTGAAGGTCTCAAAAAGACTGAATTTGAAGACGGGGCCACCACAGTGCCGTGCTCTCGGTGCACGTTTGGTTGTAACTGCCAAAAAGTCTTTGTCCAGGGTACCAAAACACATGATAATCTGAAGCACTACTACTTTTGTGAGGAGTGTAATTACATTTCCTTGACACGGCAGACACTTGTAGCACACTTACATGTTGCACACCTCAACACACACCAGCCTCAAAACAGGAAAATGAGTCATACTAATGATGCAGAGGGAGCACAACATGTTCCGTTTCAGTGTAAAATGAGTTTTTTCCCAAGGAGAGACAAAGTAGTGTTAGGAAAACATTCTGAAATGCCATATGTTGGCAAATATAAAACAATGGCCCGATGTAAACCAAATCTATTTAAATCTACTTTAAAGGAAAAACTCGACCGTTCCACTGAAAAGGGGGATATTCACATTCAAAAAACTATTGACAACACTGTAAATTGTCATCAGTTTAAACCCAATGCCAGCTGCACTAAAAGCATGCTGTCGCCATATTTGTGGAGAATCGACAAGCATGGAAAGTTACTCTTACAACCAGCAGAAAAATTGGATGTGGAAGCCGATCTCACCTGTGTACAAGAAGATGCTGAAAACAATGACCGCAGGGCTTTTGGCAGCTTAAAGCTGGCAAACCGTCCTACAGCCGCTGCTTTTACAGCCAGGAAGCTTAAATTGGACCAGATGTTCTGTCAGGGAAGCAAAAATGACCCCGTAAACGGGAGTTTACAAGTACAAGTAAGCCAAAATTCTCCATCAATGGGAAAAATAAGTACACCTTTGCATAACACTACTGAAAGAATGAATGGTAATATATTGCCTGGGCTTAGCCAGAGGCTTAAGAAACAGTGTGCAGTTAGGGAGTTAAAGAAAGGCTGTGAGGGTGATGATAACTTCAGTGATGACACCAGCGAAGCTACAGGCAGCTTCTTGGAAAGCAGCGAGAATGAAAGGAACTCATATGCTCGGAGGTATTTGAAAAAGAGGCAGAGCTTTACAGCCAAACACCAAAGCCCCCACGCACTCAAGGTTGAAGATGATGGAGATGAAGACTGCAGTGACATAGAACAGCTCATAATCAAAGAGGAGCACATTGAAACGACAGTGAGTGATGATTCCACAGAATTGCCTAATACATCTCCAAGTGATAGTTTTGATATGTCCCCCACACCATCAGTAAAACATAAGCCCTGTCCTTACTGTCCCGCCACGTTTGAGTCCGGAGTGGGTCTGTCTAATCACGTGCGAGGACATCTTCACAGAGCTGGGGTGAGCTACAATGCCCGGCACATGGTTTCACCGGAGCAAGTGGCGTTGTGGGACTATCAGCCAAGAATCCGCAGAAAGATTTCTACTGGCATGAGAAAAAAAGGTACGATTATTTTAACAAATAATAAATACAAACCGAGTCTGAATGGACTGTGTGCCAAAACTAATATCCCTAACACCGATTACCTCATTATAGCCTAGCTTGTACAATATTAGGTGCCTGCACATACTGTAGAATTTTAGTGTAAGCGTGCCACCTATCAGATGTGTTCTGTATGTCTGCTATCAAAAGATGAATAACATTATATTTTGTAATTTAGTAAGAAAATCATTTTGCATTTTTGATAGGAGAAAGAAATGGAGCCAGGGATGTGTTGGAGCAAGCATCTATAATCTTAATCAGTGGGATTGCATATTGCGCACCTCTCTATAGAAGCTTTGGTTAATTACTCCATGACAGAAGTCAAAGTTCTCCAAAGCTCCACAACCATTTCAAAGTGGCACTTCAGGATATGGTATAGGGTTTACGATTTAGTATTTCTGTGATCGGCAGTAGGGTCTATTATATGACTTACATATAAAAGCAGCTATAGAAAATCTATATCTATAAAGTTTCACATTCCAAAATGTACACTAAAAATAGCTTTTTTCTTTCCTTAAATTGTGACACACTGTTCTTATATTACAGCTGTTAAGCCAGAAACTCGAGGACAACACACGTGTCCTGTGTGTTTGGAATGTTTTGATAGCAAAACTGGCATCTCTAACCATGTGAGGGGACATCTGAAACGAATAGGTACAAAGGTTACCAGCAGCAGTAAGTCTCCGCTGTGCGCACTAAATGAATTGCTACAGAACAAAACGGAACATTGGAACAACCTTCTGACTAAGAGTCAGTTCTCCTCTCAACCTTTAGCCCCTCAGAAGTTCATCTGCAGCAATGGCCTGTTTCTGATGCAGAAAAGCATCCCAGGGAAACTCCAACATGTCAAAAGGAGTCTGCATCCCATAAAGAAAAGCCTTGTGTGTAAACACATGGTAGATAACCTCTCAGAAAGGAAGAAGCTACATGGGGAAGCAGAAAGAGGCACTACAGCCACATCAAGCACTTTAGTTGAACTCCTCAAAGCCAAACAGGAAAGTGTGGAGCTTGCAGTGAGCCAAGAAGCCTATGCAACCAGGATGATCTGTGAGATGACCAACGATTATATGGCCAAAACAGAGATGACCAGTCGGGAACCAAACTGGTCTGCTGGTATGGAATCTTTAAGTCTAGATTTGGACAGCCATCATACTGTATGTAAAATACATCATTTTTAAATGTTATGCAAAACCAGCCAAAGCAGAAAAACAAAAATTGAGGTATCATTATCATGCATTTAATAGATCATATGTAAGACAAGCTACTGTATGCAAGCTATTATATCATTAAGTGTAGTTTATTGTTGCATTTTAATAGTTTTTTATTTAATTGTCTTTTTATTTCTCAATTAATTATCAGTAGAGGAATAGCATGTTGACCCAGGCAAACGCTAGGCTTGCATAAAACATAACCGCCTCCATATCAACAACAACTTTATATCTTTTAAATTCAGAGTGTGCCCTGTTTTTGAGCTGCCTTCACTTGCGTCGAAGTCAACTAATTCTCAGATTTTAATTCATATTTTATTACAAATTTACCATGTCTCATCCCAGATAACGTGTTTATTGTCGACAGAATACAGTTAAACAGTGTGAGAATTGTTCACAGTCATTTGCTTTGTGGGAAAAACACATTCTCTGCATAGAATGCGTCCAAAGTGCTTTTGAAGTTGATATTAAAAAAACATGAAATCCTCTTGATGTTGTGTCACAAGCCCATCATCCACGAATCCACAATTTTGTTTAATGTCTGTCCAAATCAAATTTTCAGTGAGGTACTAAGGAGGACAAAGCTGCAGTGTACTTCCCAAAGACGTTTTATCCCATGTCTTCTGTCCTAAAGACTGATTTAATGGCAATTTGTAGAATAACATTTGGGTATTAACGTAAATGCACCACCGAGTTCATTTCTTCTCACCTCAAGGTCAAGATGACTCTCAAATCATGTGTTACTCACATTTTTGGGATATTTTTCTTTGACATACAAATACACTGAAAAGTAAAATCAGGTTCTTTAATTTTTGAAAGATCGTTTGGGATATCTACTGAACTATGCCAGATATCATTAATCATTAACATGCAGTCTAGTGTACAGCATCATTGTTGCCAGTTTTCCTGTAAAATGAATATATCTGTGATTTTGTGTGTGTGTCTCTGCGTGTGTAGTTTAGGAATCCTTTGTGACTCCCTCGAGGTGGTGAATTGTATGTGAAAAAAGTCCCCCTGAAGACACAAGATTGTGTTAAACTTTACCAGTAACACTTTCCAAACAGGAGAGTGCAAATAAGATGCTTAGAATGCAGCCAGGTGGAAGAAGACTTTAGCGCACACTGGGACTAACAGTTTATCTGATAATAAAATTACTGCATGAACTCAAATATATTCTATATTTCTTCGTAAATATTCAACTTCTAATGTTTGTAAACTTGGATTTGTCACATATGGTATCATGCGCAGACTAAACTGTATAAAATGAATATATAACCTAAATATTAGGGAAATGTAAAATACACTCACATCATTTATTTTATTTTTCAGGGGAATGTGACTCAAAAAAGATTTATATTCAGTGTGACAGCACCTTCCCCACTGTTTCCCAGCTTCCTGGTCATATTCAAGCAAATGCACACAGGAAGAGGATTGCAATTTTTGAAGAAGAAGGTAATTTCTGTTGAAGTAAAATGAAAAGCAGATGATATTTGCTGTATTTAGAGACAAAATGTTGCAAAATGTGCATTTAGAAGTTCATGTCAAGGATAAACGGATGTATTTCTTGAGATAAAGAATTCTGGTGCTTTTTTTTTCTAGATTATGATTTTAGGAAGAAGAAACCAAGACTAAGGCCGGAGCTTAAAAATAATAATTTACCTTCACTGAATACTGAGATGTGCACACTGACCTGCAGGTAAAAGGAATGAAAGGCTACATACACAGTATTTCAACAAAACAACGGTTAAACCGGCAGATGTATAAAGGACAAGCTGGAATATTGACATTTGCATGTTTGATGGTTGCAAGCAATTTGTCTGCACCCAGTTTTATGACTGTATATTTGCACACCATGATGTCACCCAGTGGTTTGTAAAGTCCTGGACAGCTCAACTTTTCTTAATAGTAATTACCTCATTGCTCTTTTGGGCCAGAAGGAGCCACTCAGAGAAGCTGTTTGGCATTTAGCTCAAACTTGCTGCATATACCTGGTAGTTCAGCTAGATCTAACTTAGATTCTAACTATAAACAAATCACTGAGGAGTTTTTTTGGAACCGAACTACCACCTGCTGCAAAGGGTTAAAAGTCCAGAAACTATCAACGAATACTCTAGGAACTTAAATTACGGTTTGAATATCTATGGAGAAAGGACTGAATGTAATAGTTAAGATATCTGTGGAGCTTGGGGGAAAGCAAATAAAATAATGTCCGTTTTGCTTTAGGAAATGTATTGCTGTCCAGGAATGTGAGATCATCCAGTCAAAGAGGTTCTTAAAATATAGTAACTGCCAAATGTAACAGGTAGATAAGACTGAGTGTCATCAGCATAACAGTGATAGTGAACTTATGCTCCAAAAGTCAAGTTTCAAACACAGCCATGGTTTAGTAGCTTCTATTAGTTAAAGTGCCCATGTCTCTAACAATGCCATTTTGAAGCCTCAATGAATTTTATATAGTTATGGAAAAGACTGGAAAACTTGAGAATCTTTGATTACAATGTATAGAATGAATAAAACTACATCTTAGTTAGAAGGCGTTAGAAGAAATGCATGAAGTCCAGAAACACTGACAGTTTCTTTTGGTGTATCTCTGCAGATTCTGCGACCTAGTTTTTCATGGTCCCTTTTCCATTCAGGAGGACTGGATCAGGCATTTACAGAGGCACCTTCTACACACCAGCGTACCCCACTCAGGGAGAGGGATGGTAGAGGTTTTAGCCCTTCATCAGAAAATACAACTAAGCATGTCTCACGAGGACCCAGAAACTGGGTAGTTTTACTTCCAGATCCCTCCAGATCTATGTATTTCTCTCTCTCACTCTTATTCTCCCTCTAGATATATAGATATATCTATATATATCTATACCAGCATGTTTCTGGAAAGAAGTATTTTAGTTATCCAGGCTACTATATAGTATAAATTTTCTGTATATTTGCAAAAACTTAATTATAGCATATTTTAATGCAACACTTTGCCTCAGCTAATACGACTAATAGGATTCCTGTTTTTTGACTGCAGTATAAATTATGCGCAACAATATGTATGATCCAAAAAATGTTTTTGTCATTATATAAGTGCCTTGTTAATTCAACAAAACAACTGCTCAAAAATCAGATTTTTGTAAGAAGGTTTTTATTATAATACAAAAACTTAGAAGGAGCATTAGTTAGAAGGAGAACTGCACTTTAAAAATAGACAAGAATTGGAATGTGTTTCATGTTTCATTTTCTTTTAGAGATAATATTCAGTGAAACTGTTGCTCTACTTGTACGCACAGTACAGAGTGTCATTAGTTTGTGGATGCTTTGTACAATTTCACCTCTGTGTACCTGCATCAGAGACAGAATTCTTCTTAATCCAAATGACATTCAAGACGTTGGGACAGCTTGTTCTGTCATCATTTGTTCTTTGCTTTAACCTTCAACATTCAGCTTCATTTCTGAAATCTGATTCTCATTGTTAGGCACAACAATAGCTTTTTATGAAAAACCCTCTTTAGTTGTAACAAAAGTTATATTATTTTCTATGATTAGCTCTGTGTTTCCAAAGGTGCTGTCTTTGGTTCAGTGGAAATGTGTTGTAATTAGAGACATCACGCTTAAAATTCATACTTAACAGTTTAAAGACGGAAATACTATGAACATTACCTATTATCCAAATTCACTTGCACTTAAATTTGTCACAAATTTTGCATGACAGGACTTCTGGCTATGCGCTAAGATAAATTTAGGTATTTCAGCATGTGAATAAGTACTTTTGCCAGGTCCTTCCAGTAAAATGTAGTAGTTTACCTTTTTCTTAGTACATTTTCATAATTGTATTCTCTACATTGTATATTTTAAGAACAGCTAAGGCTTTGACGTGTGTGATCTAGTCCGGCTGAACCTATTGCCAAAGCACTTACCTCAATTGTAACACTTTTGATTTATACTATATTAAAAGCCAACAAATAGTATATTTAAAATTCAGAAATTTAGATTTAGCTAAATCAAACAAATGCTTGCTCTGGTTTTACAACCAAATGCCATGAAAGGATAACTATTTTATGCATTTACTTGCCTATTTTGAATATGGAAAACTGCAGATATAGTATCTCCTAACATGTTGTACAGTTTAGCTTTGTATTAATACATGTTGTTGAATCAATTTAAGAATTCCAATTTGATTTGGATTATATCTTCCGCAATCAAATATTCATACAATTCTGATGAAACTTGCATGCAAATATTTGTATAGAAATCAGCTCCATTGATATTCAGCATGTGTGATATGAAAGAAGTGTTGTAAATTTAAGGAATTAAACACGTGTTTATTTGTTGATGCTGTGCCAAATTACATTAGTGACGTTTTTCAAGATGTTTTTAATCTGATAAAAAGATCTTATATGATGTGATACCATGCTTAGAGGAGCATCTGACTCCTCTCGGCTGCACTGGCATTATTTACAGCAGCAGTTATGAGGGACTGAGCAAAAGGTTTAACGAACATGCGGATAATTGAGCAAGGTGAGATTAGGTTAAACAAGAGACTTCATTTACAATAAAATGGTGTTTATCACACAATATGCTGTTGAAAAGACATGTTAATTACTAAACCTTAGCTGAATCACAGATCAACAGGCAGGTGCACATTTGCACACTGAAACAAACATTGCTGGCTGGAAGAAGTCCTAAGGCAATTTGAGTGTGGGTGATTGAAATCCATACTCGACTTCCAACGTAAAAATATATTCCAAAGTTTTTCTGAAAATAACACGATGTCTGTTTTGTGTTTCTTTTCCTCTGCTGTGCCTCAGCAGGGAAACATAATCCAGGGCAAAGAGAGAGAGAAAGGAAATTTCTTGGTGTAAAACTGTAAGCTTGAAGGATAACCACTTGGGTTGTTGAAAACAGACTCCAGAAAGAAGGTTCATAACATAGCAGGCCATGGTGACAGCATTCTGTCACTCAGTCATTGGTCACTGTTCCTTTAATATTTTTCACCTTTGTTCAGCTGCAATTTTTCACTATACATGGAGAAGTCTTTTTTGTACTTGTGCCAATGAGTATTGTCAGCATTGGCTCTAGTGAAGTGCAAACACACCTTTGAACGTTTACTTCTCTCTGCCATTGTCAATAAAAGCAATGTCTTCCTATGTGTCACCTCTTGCAGCAGCTGCTCCACCCTCCAACCCCTTAGAAATCTCTCTCTCCTGGACTGGGAATAGTAAAAGATGCATGTTAAATGAATATCGCCATCTTATTGTAAATCAGAAACAGAGTTGATTAGACACAAGAGACGTGTGCAGCATAAAAAGTGAGATCAAGCCAACATGTTCAGATTCATATTTTAAACAGACTTTTGCACATGGCTGAAGACGTCTTTATTTGCCTTTATTTAAATGTATTATGTTTAATCAAGCCACAACCTTGGCAAATGCCAGTTGAAATAACTCAACAAATGAGAATTCACAAACGGTTAAATTGATTGGCCAGTTTGTTTGTAACCAAAAAGCAGAACCGGTTGCCTGTAAGACCCAAACATTGGTGTCATTAGCCTATTAAATGGCAGTTTTCAGATATTATCACTCCAGTAGATTTGGCTAGTGTCTCCTAGCTCACTAGCAGGCTGTTTCAACCTCGTTAAATTACGATGTTGGCACAGATAACAAATAAAAGCAAGGTAGAAGTGACAAAGTTGGTATTCAGTGGTAGTGGAGTCAGTGGTGGCATGAGACATTTGTTGCACTGGGGTTTGTGTCGCAGCTGCAACTGGTTTTTAGACTTTATTTTACAACTAATATGTGCTGCTTAATGGGCCACAAACATCCAAAGTTAGTGAGTAAACATTAAATCTCTTCATAGAAACTCAAAAAAACACAGTTGTCCTGCTGTTTATCCCCATTTTTCCCATTAATGTTCTGCTACATCTATTTTAAAGTCAATTATATATTTGTGGAAGTAAATGAATATTTTGCTAGCTTCAACCATGCATGAATATAACAACAGTGAAGCCAGATGTGAGTTTAAATGACTTTCTCTTGCTGCTTCAAACCTGCAGTGCCTTTGAAATCTGTGAGTGGAAATATTTCACAGTACATAGTAAGTGATGTCTTTTACATTCAGACAGCAGAAAATTCATTGTTTGTGTTAGTGCAGGATGGCCATTGCCTTACAGATCTTCAGCTGCAACAAGATTCACATTCAGACAAAAGAAAATCTGAGTGCTGGTGTCCCTTTGTTTGGAAGCTGTAGAGGAAAAATAATAAAGATATGATCTAAATAAAGGCAAAATATGAATTTGTAGTGGATTTAATGGAGTAGAGTTTAAGGTTGATTGGTGTTTATCATGTATTAATCTGTTTAATCTGCCCTGAAAGTGGTGGCGTAAACAACCTCAAACACCACAGCAATTTTTTTTGACAAAAACGTCATCATTCTAATTTCAAAGAAATGTCTCTTTGATTACAGAGCACAGATGCAACTTTTAGCAGCAGCAGCTGGAGTTGCCGCTTTCAGCTGTCTAAAGGTGTCTTATGTGATAATGAATCAGCCCCTTCCCCACAACACACAACCTGATTTTATTTGTTATGTTTAACAAAATTTGTTGCAATTCAGTTGGGTGAAAGATGCACATTTCAGTGTCATTTTGCACCATTATTCCCAACAGAAAGTAATATTAGGGCTATGTGCTATTTTAAACTCCAGTGTTTTGCAGCAGAACTGGCTGGGTATTTGATGTTTCTAATGCTTGAGAGCCACTTCTGGGTTTTCTACTTACCAGTGGCAAAGGGGGCTAACCCTGCAGTTTATCTTGGGCAGTATTTAAAGCAGCGATCAAAGCTGTACAAACCAATTGTCATCATGCTTCTCTGGAGGGAATTTTGAAGTACATTAATACTCCTTCTTTGGGAAATAATTGTGCCACTCTGTGACTTCATTAAGTCTCCTGGCTGTTTCAAAAGATGTTCTCTCTGGAGGTTGAAAGCCACATCGCTGGCAGACAGCATCCCAAGGGGCTGAATGAATAAAAAAAAGGAGAGATTATAATGAGATTGAGTTAGCCATGACCAGAATTGGGCTTTTCATTATCCCACTGGCTGGAGAGAGAAAGAGAGAGAGAGCAAGAGAGGGGGACAAGGCTGACAAAAAGAAATGTGTTGTTGCAGGACCTGCTCGCCATCTGCCAACTGGGTCCAATGGTAGGCAGCCAATGCATGCTTATCATTTCCATGGGTATCAAAGGGGCCTCCTCTCTGGAGATTTCACCATTAAAACTGCAAGCGCTAACCCCGTACAAAGATCGAAACACGCATTTAATTCAGAGGTAACAGTTTCTGTCAATTTAGCAAATCAAAATCAGGGGCAGCATAAAAAAACCTTCAATTACTTCAATTTTTATGATGCGTACGGCAGTATCCCAAAAGAGTATGCATCAACCAGAAGGACTTTTTTATTAGCTATGCTTTTATAAATAAATATATATATTTTTTCAGTGTCTGTGGCAGCAGTGAATCAAAGGTCAGGAGCATTGATCGTGACCCGTTCCTTTGGCCAGTTATTTAGAAGTGCCACATATTGTCTGTGTAAAAAAAGAAAAAAGAAAAAAAAAGGAGAAGAAAAATCAATAGGTTTCCATTATCTGGTTGGGCAGTGTCACTGGCCTGTCAATGATCCTGTTACAGCGGCGGTACAAGGGTGACACGGGCCCACACTCAATCGCTGCTGACAAGAGGAAAACATGCTGACAGGCACCGGGAACAAGTTGGAACACAGATTTGCACTTCAAGCAGCCGTCCGAGGAGGTATCGTGCAAGGCCACCACGTGGCAGAGGGGGTGAGCTGGGTTTGGGTGGATGTGTAGGGGTTGATATGTGGGGGTGGGGGTGCTGGGGAGGAAGGCGGGTGATTCCCAGCCAGCCTCCTTCTACTGTCTGACTGTCTAGCTCTCAACCACAAATGCTTTTATCCTCCTATAAATTATTCACCCCTGGATACACCAAAGGAAACTCGCTTGCACTGATTGTGGCTGAGGGGAGATTCATAAAACCTATGCCCCAGTCTGCATCCACTGCAGCTGCCTGGACACTCCTGCAAACTTCTCCAAATCTCACCTACTCTATGCAATATAAATATGGGTTATGTTAAGCATGAGCATTGGAATACCCATGTTTTTTGGGCTTTGTGAATGGTCTCAAAAGGAAATTTTCCAAATCTTTGTATTTACAGGTATTAATCATTTTCCATAGTTATTGACTTTCTGACACATTAGCTCTTCACCTACAAAGAAAACAAGAGTCAGCTTTCATCAGTCAGTCCAGATGGCCAGTCAGAAATTAAGGAAGACATCAACTGTCTCTTGAAAGAACATGAATCAATATATTTTGACAAGGATCAAATGTGCTTCAGATGAACCTTTTTGCCCTCCCAAAGCAGTCTTTCTCCTCTTGTCAAACCTCTTTATTTTTGTTTGTCTACATATAATGATCACATTTCCAATGACTCTTGATTTTAGCGACTACTTTTACCAGCATAATGAAACTGAATGCAATTCACCGGATAATCATCTGCGGTCTAAAGTCGACATATAGCTAACAAAATACTATGCGATATACTTTCATTCTGTGTGCCCAAGTCGTAGCCAGCGTGCGCTACTTTTCATTCTTTTTATTTTCATAAAACAGGCCTTGGGACACTCGTGACGTCATGTCCCTGGTTAGAGAAAAATACCGCCCTTCTTTTTTTTTTCTTTTTCAATTACACATACATATGTGTACATTTTTTTCTTCATATGTAGCCAATTCTGTTCATAATGACTGGGGAATTCAGGTTAATATGTTGACAAGGTTTAACAACAGCGGGTCATGTTGCACAACACGCATGGCTGGCTCCGTTCACTCCAGCAGCTGACAGGTCCTAATCATGCGCTGCCCTAAAGGCACTGAAGCAAAAGAGGGTTTTAATCACTGAATTATAGACCAGCAGCGAGGCTTCAAATTGAGACGTAATTAAAGTCAAAGTTGCAGTAATTGTTTCAGCTAATTGGGCAGACAAGTGCATTATGGCGCGATTACAATATCTGCAGTAGTTCCCAGGGTTTGAGTTTTTTTGTTTTGTTTTTTAAATATTATTATGGAGAAATGAGGCAAAATCTTGGTTTCTGATATGAAACATGTCAATAATAGGTTACGATTTATACTTTATAATTTCACATTTTAAAACAGAGGAAAAAACTCCCAATTAAAATAAAAAGCTTACAAGCAAGAGCTCACCCCTTTTGTGGTATTTTAATTAATTAAGTTGTGTAATTTTTCTTCTATCGCTTCACCTATTAGTTCAGTTGAGCACCTCTCTCACATGAATTTAAATAAGTATCAGCATCAATGTGTCATTTACAGTAAGGAGATTAATAATGCAGTCAACACGTCGTCCTCGGAGGTGATGCGGCACCTAAGGCAACATCATTATTTCCTATTAATTACTCCGCCAACCAAATGCCTTTAGAACTGGAGCTGCAGTAGGTGTGATGGGGGGAAACTGGTCTGGGAGCAGCTGCCCTGTATCCCGCCGGGCTCAGCCTGACCTCCTTTTTTTTTCTCCCCCTCTTCTTCTTCTCCTTTTACATCACTAAACTGGAGGCTTGACAAGCCCTATAGGAGCGCAGAGATTTTGATTTGGATGAGGGGAGAAATGTAGAATATGAGCCAGAAATGACGATTCAGACAGCAGTTCGGGTGAAGCCAAAGAATCAATTGTCGAAAAAAAAAAAATCTGATCTTTAGCGTGTCTGTTTTGGGGCGGAAGTGTCTGTAGTGATCCATCATATTACACCCGGGCTGCTGGAACCGCTTTCCTCTTAAACATGCACTTTCACCCACGCTGATTCAATCTTTTTTATTTCATTATTTATTTTTAAATTATATTTTATTTCTGAGACTTTTACCACAAAAATAGTAATAATAATAAAATAATAGCAGCTAATAAACGTTTGGCAACCATTAACACAGGAAGTAAATCTATTTACGGGTGTGACTGTATCCTTGTAATCACGTAGAGGGGTGTGAAACGGCTCTATGGGATTAAAAACTGTTTACTAACCACTGGGCCTATGAGCTTTTATGTGTTGAGTCCAATGTGTACCTTCACCATTGAACAGTAGGGGGCGCTGTTCGTTTCGTCCTGAAAGCCAGGAGGAGAAACACATCAGCCGTTTTGCACAAAGTGGCTCCACTGAAACCGATAATCAACAATAATAAGCAGCCAGATAAAAATAAAATAATAGTAGGGAATTGAGAAAAATCACAAACTCGGTATAGTCTCCTTTTTAAAAATTTCTGCATCAATTCAAGCTGTCAGAAGCGCTACTGTTCAATGTATTGTGATATCTTTAGATATACATATCGCAGGATTATCTGTCAGGTCTAGGTACACGGGCCTTTTACAGTTTGACGGACTCTTTTTTTCTTTCTTCTGAAAGATAAAGAATAGTAGCAAAAGCCAACTTGACTTCCAGACCCCCTTATAAGGCCTTCTTTTTTGGTTGATTCATTTAATTATTTTTCGATACTATTTTATGTGTTATTTATGAATCTATTGTGGCTACTGAAAGATCACATCCCCAGCTTGCTCTCAGGACGCACACGTCTCCAAAAGCTGCACAGACTGTCTCATCATCACACCAGTAATCAAACGTATCTCAGAACAAAAAAAGAAAAGAAGAAAAAGAAAAAAATCCTTCTTTTTTTCTTTTGTCGCACTGAGGGAGAAATTTAATTACAACCTCGGGTGTATGCTGGCATTGAGGAGGAAAAAAAATCCAGGCGACAAATGAATATACAGAGCAAATGACAAAACATGAGGGGGAATAACTGACAGATGAAAAGACAGAGGATGTGCAGCTAACAGGCAAAACGCGCCGGTACAAAGCCGCGCACACCTTTGAGAGCAAGAGTTTGTTTTATTGCACTTCTCCCGGGTTGCATCTCCTGTCGATTTGCAGAAAAAGAAGGGGGGATAAGCGAACATGCCCTGTTTAAGAAACAAACATGCAGATTAGATGGGATTCTGACAACACACAGCTCAGACTTCGTGTCCCACAGCTCATCTCTCAACAATGAGAAAAAAAGAGAGAGAGGTTTGAAAAATCCACTCAGCGCGCGCTTGACAACACTTACCGTCATTCTGCAAACAGTAAATGTAAATAATGAGGTGGCATCTGGAAATAAATAGGGGAAGTCAAGACAGACTGATAACAAGTCTCGTCCGCTTAAGACCCAATGGGTGTCACTGAAAAGCTTTATATAGATGCCTCTGAATAATAATATTAATAAAAAAAAAACAATAATATGATAAACGTGAATTTGATGGATTTGGCAACCAAATATATATATATATTATTTCTAAAAAAAATCTAAATTTAAATCACATTCAGTATAAGTGGATCAGGGCGTAGCCAGCAGGAAGCCTTTCTTACAAAGAAAGAGAGAGAGGGAGAAAAAGAAAGACCTCACAAGTCGTGTGTAACATTTTCTTCAAGTGCGGGGAGTTGTCACCTGTGATGTGGTACCAGGCTACATGTCAGCAGAAGCAGCACTCACTCACCTTCAGGGATGCTCCACTGTGGACTGCCACGACCAACAGCTGCACCACTGACTGAACACAGCTACACAAACGCGCACGCACCTTCTGCACACCTTTTTATTCCAGCTGGACGGGTGTGACTCACACGTGACCACGAACATCTCCTAGAAGTAAGCGGTGTCTCAGCAGCAATGAAGGAAGTTCCAAGAATATTTACTTGAGCACTTCGTCTGCGTGCTATAGGCTGTGTTTCTGCTCTTGTGTATTTCAGAGAGAAAAGTTGCGCTTCGGCTGCTTCAGTTTGAATAACTTACAGAAGCGAAAAAAACAAACAAGCAAAATACACTTAAGTGCACCACTAACAATCCCCAATGCTGGCTGAAGATGCGTTTACATTTCTAAATAAATAAATTATGTATACTTTGTTGTTTTTGTGGTTTACTTTTTATATTTTTGGATTTTGTATTGCTGTTTTAAATGTTGTTTATGGTTATGGTTTATGGTGTTTTAAACCACCAAACAGCAATCTATGAAATAATACTAATCAATAATAAGAATTAAACAAACTTCACTTTCATACTTTTGACTTCGCGATGGGTTATTTTCTAATTTTATTTTTTTTTCCTTTCAAAAAGCGATAAATACAGCCTAGTGCCGTTTTAAAATCTGAGTGATGTTTCTGTAATCTTGTTTAATGTATTTAGTTTTCAGCTGACACACAACAGGTTATTTAATGTGGCACTATCAACTTGCATTCATTCAACTAAAATCTAACGTACATCAATTTTTTATATGCAGACAATTTCTGCGTGGATATGTGATCTTGAGATTCAAATTTCAAATTTGCAGTAAAGCTCACCGCAAAGTTTATTTTATTGTGAGAAATGAGAGTCAAAAAACAAACGTAAAATATAAATGGTTCATTAAATAAACACATGAGCAAAAATAAAATTATTGTTATTCATTTTTCTTCAACATCCTTCCTCAACCGCCAGGCAGGTTTGAATAACGGTCACGTGACGCATTATTTGGTCACGAGGTTATTCCGGAAATTTGGGTTAATTACGCGGTGTTCTAATTTTACTCTAATTCTTCGCCATGAAAGCTCTGTTTTAAATGAATATTTAAAATAGAGAAATATAGATTTTTTTTTTTTTTTCTTTGCGGATTTATTCCTGCATGCAGTATACGAGCTTCAGTCTGAAGGATGCCATCAGATCATCACGAGGTACAGAAAGTTTATGCTGTTGGTGCCAGATACAAGCTGTTTTCTGAATGCCATTAGCTCATTCCCAGGTTTGGTAGAAGTATCACAGTAACTCAGCAGTGGGCTGTACCTGACATTGCATGGCCCTCTGGCCAAGTCGAGGGGTTTTCAACCTGCAGGTGGACGTCACCGACATGGTCTCTAACAAAGTCAGATGCGTCACAAACAGGAAAGAAAGAAATGAACAAGATCTGCTTCTTGAATTTCCATTTGAATGTCCATAAATTAGCTTATTGGTGCGAAGAGTGATTTCTGAACTTTAATGTAGCAAGGACAAGAAAATGATAGTCACTACAATAATAATGCGTTTTTGTTTGTTTATTTGTTTGTTTTAGACATATAGCAATTATTTCTGGGGATTGTGAAAACCTACAAATATTTAGAAAGTGCATTTGCAGCTGTATGGACATGAAAGCATGACTGATAAATACAGAGTGGTGTCAGATTAAAATAAAAACTAAGATAAATCGGCTCACAACCTGCTGGAAAGGTTTCAGTGCATCTTAGTGATAAATCTTCAAGTGTCTGGAATTTTACTGGACGAATGAACACCAAAAGATCTCTCAGTTGGTGTTTTGATCATCATGTCAGTCCACAAACTGAAAAAGGTGATCAGCTTGGTTGAGAGCTGTTGACTGCAAAGGCCGTAGTACACGATTAGCATCATTTTCACACTCTATTCAATGACCCTCACCCATGGGGACCTTGTTTACCATGAATGGACCAAAAGTGGACTCTAGCCATGCCAATCAAGCACTAAGAATGGCCTAAAAAAGATCCACAATACCACAGATTCAAATATTTTAGTGGGACAGGACAAAGATCACTGGCATAACTCAATAAAAAAGTATACAGTAAAATCACTGAAGGCTACACTGATGTTCTCTATAAGGAGTTTGGGATGTTGCCTTCAAGAGTGCTCTTTAAAGCCCAAGCTTGCAGAGTATCCAAAGAAAACTAGACTTTATTTCAAAGGCAATCTGATGATTTTATAATGTCCATAGGCGTGACTGGACATCGCTTATCCAAGAAGGGTGTTTTCTGCAGGATCTGCTGAAAAGGGAAAGGTTTCTGTGAGCTTACCTTTTAATCTCATTTGAACACTTTATACATGCAGGGCTTTGTCCAGTTTAATATACAGTAATTGTTGTAATTAATTACTTAACTCATTTTTGTGGACTAAACATAGCAGACAAAATAATCCTAATTCCTCAGTTCATGTGGGTGTATGTAAGGTCGCAAGCCAAAAAAACAAAACAAGGTAATGAACCACTGATTTTTACTGTGTGACACTGAGTTAAAAACACACGTGACCTTCTCTAAATTTAGAATTTTTCTGCACCCCGCTAATTTGAGTATTCATTATTTCCTCATAACTCGTAGGCTAGTGTGAACAAATCATTATTCTGCTATTTAAATGTCTTTCATTTTTCTTGGCCAATTTCCCGCTCTGTGAAGTGTAACAGTATGTAGTGACAGCAGCCCCACAGGTCTGAACATTACAGGCAGCTGTGCATCGAATCTCCCCAGCAGCCTCATTATTCTATTCTCCTCCAATATCCAAGGTTGATCTAATCACCAGATCAACAACGGGAAGTGCAAGAGAACAAATAATGGAGACAAAATGAACAAATGATTAGTATGCTGTGAAAAGTACTATACATTACTTATTTAGCATTTAGATAACTATCTATCCTGAGGAGCAAGCTTCAAAGTTGAACTCAGTTTAGGCGAGGGGGATTAATTCTCTCTGCTGCATGCTTCATTGAATCTCTCATTACCAAACTTTGTCTGTATTGATGTTAGATTTGATTGAAGATTAGAGCATTTAGCAAATCTTGCTTTTCCGCATGTATCAGGCTTTTTCAAGCGCGGCGCACCGCTCGCTGGTCAATACCCTCACTTTTATCCAGTGTCTGCTTCATTTAAACTTAATCAACTCCATCAATGAACTGGAACAGCGAAATGTCCCCTGGAACAATAGCTTTTGTTGGATAATGCTTTGGTCTTATTCCCAACCGGGTGGCGATAAACCTAAAATTACACTATGATGAACTATTTCAATCAATATGATAATGGAAATTGGCTTGGGTGACTCTTTGCAGGGCTTAAGGAGGCAGGCTAAAGCCTATGTGACATTAATACATCTCCATGCTCTCTCCCTGCTGTTGCAACCCCCCTATCTCACTTTATTGTCCCATCTTTTCAGTGACATTGACTACACCATATTGCAAAGCGCCTGGTTGTTTAATGATCTATCTGCACAAGGGAATGCTTGTGCTGAAATGGATGCGCAAGCCGACGGTCTCACGCATTGTTTTCCAACTAAATTATAGGCTCTATACTTTGTTTCCTGTAGTGGCTCAGCGGGGTGTAGATCAATCATTGATGGCACCGTTGTAAAGCAGCTACAACGTGACTTTTGCTGCTCATTTGGACGTTTTGTCCTTGTGCGGCATCCAGTGCCTGTTATAGGCTACAGTTCATCATATTTATACTGCCACCAAAAGACCAATTTCACGAGCCTAAGCAAGGAAAACGCATGCCCCACATCTGTTGCATACTAATAAATATGCCACCTTCTGGGACAATCCAGGAGTGATCATAATGATCGACTGCCAAGTGATATGACTTACCATAAACCTGTTTATTTGAAAAGTTTCCTCTAAGCCAATAATAGTCAAATTTATTTTGGCATCTATTATTATTTTTGAAAAAAATGATTTACCCAATGTGCACAGCTGTTTTTCCTCTCATCGTTTCAGATACCAGCTTTGGCACATGGAAAGAGATGGATGCCTTTGTTGTTTTGCTAGAAGAGCGCAGTTATTACTGGAGCTTAAAGTCACAGCTGTCCTTTTGCAGGGAGTCACTGATCTGCTCCATCTCCCATTAATTGCACGTACTGATTAAGTTATGGTTCGGTTTTTGAATTAGAGGCATGTATTTGTCATTTAATTTGGATTTTGAGAGAAGTTATATAGTTCTGCCGCAGAGCCAAACACCGTATTTATACAGACAGGTGACAAATCAAAAGTGGTGGGTTTGGAGTCTCTGTTGTGCTGCACAAGCTTTTTGCTCCCATTATTTGGGAAAATTTATTCCCTGAAAAACTGTCTCTTATTAATCCAAATATCAACCAAACTGAAGAGCTATAGTAGGTGATGGACTAACGTGTCCGATAAAACACTCTTGACCACCATCATCAAAACAACAAACAGTATATATAGGGATATTTTTTGAGAAAAATGGTTTTCCCATCCATCCATAGACTCGTAGAAGGTGAATCTGTTATGGTGGCATGTGACGGATCAACACTTTAATAAACACTTATTTTACCTACATAACTGCTTGTAGATAGACAGCATGACAGCGCTCCAGAAGCGAATCTCCCTCTGTTTACTCATACCAGTATAAACCTCCCTATTAACCTCAGTTAATGTTAATAGTATTGCAAATAAGCTAAACGCATCAGTTTGACCCACAGAAAACACAGCGAACTAAGACAGACCAATGATATTGTCCGTATTGATATTCATCAGTATTGTGAGTCTTGATGTCTGTGCAAAATATATTCTTTCAAAAAAAAACAAAACTCCTTTTTATTTATAATTTTAACGAGATTTACTCGTTGTAATATGCAAGGAGTTGCACATAACCACTGTGGTGTTATTGTAACAGTATTATCCAATAGGAGGCAAGGTGCGGGAGTGAGGAGCATCTTGGGATACGTGAGTTGTGCTGTGTTTAGATTTTCACTGGAAGGTCATAAAAGAAAGTTCTACACAAGAGTGCAGTTAGTCTCACGCTTGTTTTCTGATAGAAAACGCAACAACCACAACTCTACGATTGTTGCTCACAGTCGCAGTCGTCTACCTGTGCAATTCTCCTCGTTAAGGGGTGTTTATGCACCTTTCATTGTATTGTTTTGTCTCATACAGTCTGCAAATCTTTGTCTCTCTGCTCTCATAACCGTACTTACATGTATCCAGTGCAGCTGACAAGACAAATAAAAATACAGTATACCACGCGCTCACTGCTGAGCATCATAAAAATGTCCGTAACAGAGAAAACAGGAGAACTCTGTAGCTCCTACTGATCAACAGATAAATTAATAACGTCCAAAAAATAATGCAGGTGTAACAATATTTTAATCTGATTTCTAATCTTGATGGAAGAGTACTGATTGGCTGAAAACAAACTGCCGGTCAGAGAGGTTGTAGTCAGGCTGCGTAAGGCTGGTTATCAGTGTTAAAATTGATGCCAAGTTTGCTGAAACTTGTTAAGATATGAATTGGTTATCACATATATACAAGAAAAAAGCCAAACAGAGTTTATCAGATTTGCAGTAGTTTCTCTGCAGACTACCTTTAAAAGGTTTAAAACTTGAATCTGACGATAAAGATGTCACATACCAGAATGTGTTTTATTCTCCATTTTAGTGCATTTAAAGCCTAAATGCTTATCTGCATTGTAATGGATAAACATGGATCAAGTTGAAGCACGGTTCGTGAAAGAGTTGGCCATTCCCCTGCCTCGCTAACCTTCTGCCTTCTTCAGCAGCCAGTGTCAATTAGCCTGTCCTGTATCTTAACCGTGTGAAGTTGCTGCCATGTCACCATCATCCAGCAAACATGAAACACCAGATGTGTCGTTTGACACTTTTGAATATGTTGTTTGCCTTTGTTTCCGTGTTTTACTCCCGGTGCTGAAAATGATTTGAGAGGACAGACATGCACAACAGATACAGCACCTTGAACATCAAAGACCGGCGCTGCAGTATTAGTAACGGTGTGTCTGTGTTTCTGCTGTAACTCTGCACGCGCTCACATACACACACACACACACACGGATAAAGGCTTGTGTGAGTCTGCGTGCACGTCTGCTTGCCTTCCAAAGGAAAGCATCCGAGACAGCCCAGAATATAAAAATTTACAGGCCTCTTTCCTGCTTTGTCTGTCTCCTTTCCCATTCTCTTAGGTGAATGGGGGCCTGAGTGATAGACCGAGAACCTTTCATCTCACCCAGTGAGTGTAAATAGCTGTCATGTTTGATTGGCGGTTTGACGTGCACGTGATGCCCTGGAAGAGGGGAAGAAATTCAGTGAGGACGCGGTGCATGACGGTTTCTCTGTCTGCAAACTAAAGAGGTAATGAATGAGTAATTGCACAAAAATCTGTGTTCTACATTTTGTCAAATGTGATTTCTCAGAGTTCATGTGGAAGAATCTGCAGCTTGTACTGTACAAGATTGAGTCTGGGCTGACTCACAATGGCTTTTAATCTCGTCATATTTCAGAGTTACTAAACAGAATTTTAAAAAGTGAAATACTTTTATTTGAATCTGCTCAGCATATTACAGCCTGTAGAGCCCCTGGAGCACAATTATACTTAAAGTTACTTATCATAATTGCCAACTTTGTTATGTACCCAGGAATATTAAGCATGTTTACATCGCTAAATTGTGTTTTACTTGTTTAAAGTGAAAGCGGTGATCTTTCAGTATATAATTCAATCTACTGGTTCTAGCAATAGAGAGGAAAGGTTTACAATAATGCTGAATTATGTGCTGTGTTTCATGCTACAATCAGTGATGTTACTGATTGACTGCTTCACATTGGGGAGGTATGAGAGGTGGGGGGGTTTAGCTGAGTAGATCTGACGTAGAACTGGATCCAAAGTAATCTGCCAGTGCCTTTTGTTTTAAATGTTTTGTTATTATGTTCAATGGGAATTAATTTTTTTAAAATGCAAGTTATGTTAAAGTGAATCCTTAGTGTTAATTCAAATGTGTTTAAGTATGCAAACAGATTATTTTGAAAGGGCTTGGGTTAGTTGGTTTTCCATTTGGTTCACACAGAAAATATCTTCTCGCTGGCTGACATTTTAATGCAGACGTTCATGGTCCTCAGAGGATGCACGTCACCCGACTTTAGGAGACAAATATCATAGCAACACCAGCACAGTGGTGCAGGTGGCAGCACTGTCACGTCACAATAACAAGCTTTTTGTTGTGGAGTGGGAATGGTTGTTTGTCTGCATGTGTTGACCCTTGACAGACTGGCAGCCTATGCAGGCAGTACTCTTTCACCCACTGAGGGTGGGATAGGCTCTAGCCCACCCATAACTATGGCTGGATAAAAAGTTATGAAAGGGGATGTGTTTAATCTTAATATTTGTGCATTTGGTATATTTATGGTCCATATCTTTTAAACTAGAATACATATATTTTGTCTCCATAAACTATTCCACGAACTGCCTTTAAAATCTCTTGCTGTTGGTGTTTTTATGTCGATGTACATGAAAAAAAATTGAAAATTCAATTCCAGGAATAAAAAGCAATGCATTAAATTCCATGACTGTGCTGTGTGAACAGTCCTCTGTATATTGCAGTTACCCTAGTTTTGATCAAAAAGAGTTAATGTATCACTTTAGCATACACTGCCCACCGAGAAAGAAGCATGATGGCTCTGTGGTTTGACATATATTTCATTGTTTGGCCTCAGAATGCTAACACTGATGTATTTTACAATGGACTTTTGCTTTGATTTAAAACACCAAAAAAGCATACCACTCTCATCTGCACTCCAATGGCCTGGAATTGGCAAGAAAAAAGCTATTTAACTAAAGAGAATATATGCATCAAATGAAAAGCAGATGAAAAAATATGCAATTATGTTCCTGATTGGGTTAAGTATTTCTCTGCCAGCACATGCCAGCTACCACTAGAACCTTTCCCAAATGGTCTGCTTCCAGGCTTGGGCGAAGCCCCAGAAAACATCACATCAGAATGGTGCCATCTCGCTGTTTCCTCTGATCCATGGCCAGTGTGTCTCCCCATTCCTCTCTCCTCTTTGCTACGCTCAGCCCCTCTCTGCGTCCCAGATAATGGAGCTCAGCTTCTGTCTGCCAAAGGGTCCGTAGCTGCCCGGGAGTAATGACCTGAGGGGGTACTTTGTGACAACCAGGGTATAATAATGCCTGCAGCTACGGACAAAGCAGACCCCGGGGGTCAATTTTTAAATACTTTTATGTTTTTCATCGAGGATAAGAGTCATCTATTTTTATTGCAGGCTATATACAATATGTACACAGCAGAAACAACACATTTATTCCAACCAAGGGAAGCACAGTGTGTTTAATGTTGTTCATTTCAACAAAATGTAGTTAAGTTTTGATAGAACGACATAGTTGTGAGCTAGCTTTATTGACAAAACATCATCCACTATTCAAGAGTTTATCTGGCACATGTCTGTAGGCCACAGTGCTTCAGATCAAAATAGTGTTATTGAGGTGCGCAAGGGAATATGGAATCACCTGCGAATGAAAGGCTTCTCCTAATGGGTTAATTGTAACAAAAGCTCGGGGTCTTGCCCCATTGAACAGAAGAGGATTGTGGAGCACAGACCTGTGGAAATGATGTCAAGCAATGTGTTGCCTGCTTTGCCCTGAAGGGCCAGAGTTTGTCTGTCAGCAGTTAAATGCTTACCTCCTACCCCTCCCCTAACACTCAACAATCAATTTACCTCCTCGGGGTCTATGAACCCAAAGATTTGACCTTGCAGACTCAAGCTTTGTTTCCTCCCTCATCTCTCACACCTCAAAGAGTTCTTATTATAAAATAAAGAAAGGGTAGTTTGAAGTTAGGCCTCATTCAGTAGGCTAGTAGGTGAATTTTCTGTTGGCAAAACCACAGGAGGAAACTTGATAAAGGTAATTTTCAATTGATCTCTAGTTTCATGCCAGCCTTTATTCCTAGAATTGAACTCTGAGTTGTTTTATTTCAGTTATTAAAATTAAGTGCTTAAAGGAAAGCCAGATAGGGTGGGAAATACTGTTTTTGTATTCTATAAATATTTAACTTGTTTGCTTACAAAGGAGAGCCACACTACATGTTTCCAGCTAGAAGCAGGTAGAAACCTATAATGTGGCTCTCTTAATGTTAATTATCTAGTGTTAATGTAGTGTAGCAGCTCTAAAAGTAACTAGTTTTTAAAATGTATAAATCTACAACTTGCAATAAAAAACGGGTAAATCATTATTACTTGAACTTTGAGATGCTTTTACACTGTCTCTGTTTCCAGTCTTTATGCTAAGCCAAGCTAACTGGATGATAGCTGTGTGTTCATTGACTGTGTGAAAAAGATGGACAAAAGTTTTTGGTCAAGCGCCTTAAACACACATTCTCTCTAATGGCCAGCAGGAGGCGACACCTCAGATGGCAAAGATGTCCAGCTGTATAGAAATCTATTGGAAGGTGTCCATGGGCTCCTTTCATCTGTGGCCATAGCAGACACTTTCCTGATCAGTTTATAATCTAAAACACTAGTTTCTCATTTTGCTGAATACAAAATGATCTGCATTTTGTTAATTATGATCCCAATTTGAGTCCAAAACAACGTTAAAGGAACGTTTACTTTTAGGGCTGACCTGAAGCTATGCTAAGCCAAGCTGCATACCTCACGTAAAAGATTGGAAACCATATCAATTCTTAAACCTCAGCAATAAAATTCAAACGTGTATTCTCCAAATGTCAAAGTATTTATGACTGTTACATAAAAAAGTTAAGAGTCAGCAGTGGCATTGTTGGTTTTGTTAATGTGTTTAGTTTTAATCATCAGCAGAACATGCGCGCCAGTGCCTCTGCATGCTTCCGCAGTAACAGATTATACGTCTTCATTTTGGATAGTTTTCCATGTGTCTTATGGCCAGTATTCATTTCAGTAAAGTAAACCGTAGTTTTAGTTTTAAGTTTAGTTTATAGTTAATTATAACAACTTTGATTCACACTTTTGTTTTGGCAGGTTGTGCGTGCCAGCAGAAACCATTCATGAAAGATGCACCCCTGAGGCTTACAGAGGTACACTCCATCATCTGCTAAGCAGGTAACTACTGTATATTTTATAGAAGAACAAAGCCAGCTCCTGATGAATGACTGTGCTATAGGTAATGAGCTTTTTACCTAGAAACAAATGTTCCGCGCTCAAAAATGTATCAAAACTGAAAATCAGGTCTTAGTGTTTATATGTTGTACAGTTGATTTACTTTTATGTTTATGGGTGCACAGCCTGGAGATGCCTCTGTGTCAATCAAAGACTTCAAGTCCCAAGATTTATTCAGTCCCCCTCCCATTTGTACAGTAACCAATGGAGGGAGTACACACCCAGCAAGGTGCTAGCTAATTGGGCATACTGAGAATAGAAAAAAAAAGAGGAAAATAAGCACCTTCTACTGTTATGTGACATTTATTGAAAGTGCTGATGGATCAGCACAAAGCTTTCTTCAGGGTGTTCGAGAAGAGCTTTGTAGTGAAGCATCATCTGTTTTATGAGATAATTTTTATGTCTTTTTTTTTAGTTTTTTTGCTTTTCAGTTTAATGCGTTTTAGTTCTGCAGCATAGAGGTACAAAATAGCGAGCAAGGAGATATGATTCACTATGCCAAACTCATGGGATCATTAGTACAAAACCTGACTCCAAATTAAGCTCCCACTTAGACCGACAAAAATGCTGCTTTCTAAGAACCCAGTTATGCATAAAATTACATCCAGGAAAACATTTAGTAGGAGACAGTTAAACTTTCTGGAGTGCCGGCATTAAAATGCTCAAAGTTTGCCATGTAATACCCCTTAGCTGAACACTAGAGAATAGCTAGTCTGGTTCTGATTTGTTCTTTACTTTCCTATTTTTGTTCCCTTTAGGGCCATTATAACTAAAATAATAAATGTCTTATAATGGCATTAAAATTCAATGAGATGAAGACTTATTCTGTTCAAACAACAATCTATATAAGCCTATGTAATTTTAGACACTTAATAGAATAAAAGCTATGAGTACAGGCAGTGAATTTAAAGCTAACAAATATCATACATGACTGATAATTATGGAAAAATGCATCAGAACTTCCACCCTGTTTGAATGCAGCATTTGGTGCATGCACTAGTGAATTTGTGATCTGCGGATAATCTCTATGCTAAGCTAGAGAAGCATCAGTCTGTCTTGATAAGATTATTTTTTAAAACATTAAACTGTTTCATTAACATGACTTACTTTATGACTGTATGCTGATTTCGGTTATTGGCTGCAATACCGCAGAATGAAATCAATAGCTAATAGTCAAAACATATAAACTCTTCTCTCTGACTCACTGAAGGATATTATACAGTACAACGATTTCACATTTTATTTTGGTCTTTTAAGGATGGTTCTCTGGCACTTGTGTCAAAGCTCGTCTTGTTTTTCACGGCTGCGCTAACCATCAAGAATAAAACTGTATAGTTTGTGCTGGTGGAGTTTTCTTTTGCTGAGGGGGAGACAGAGCGGTTGAGGATGTATACACGTGGGGGAAGAGCTGCAGTAATAGAACTCAGCTGGAGTAGGTTACTTGAGGGAATGCTTTAGGAGCGGGAACAGAGCCAAAAGAGCGAGGAAACATACTTCACTTTATTGATTTTGTCGATCGTCTTAAATGAGGGGCACTCCAGGCCAAGGGCTCACCTCTGCATTTTCTGTGTGTGTGCCTGCTGTGTGGTGGACAACGTGCAGAGGTTATGGGAGATGGGAATTATGTATGTTTTTATGTTAATGTATGGGGAAAGGCTTTTTGTGCACGAGGGAGACGGAGAGAGCTCCAGCATCACGTATACAATGTGAACCTTTTGTTGTTACCTCATAAATTTCCATGTTGTTGTATCAGCCATTGAGGCTATTGTTTCAGTCACGTGCATCTGGAAGTCCTCAATGAGCTAGCTTGTCTGTGAAAAACCCTGCACCGCCCCTCCACAGATCATGACCTTTTGCTTTACACTAGAGATACACGCTACTATTGTGACTTATTCATCAACTGTGACTTGGTTATAAATGGCTTTTTAAGGCAAATATTGATTAAGTCAAGTGTAACATCACTTGGCTTAAAGCAAATGTCCATAAGCAATTATAGCTGATAGTCTCTTTTCCATTTTTGCCTTGGCTGACATGCTCATCTGTTTTATATTCCCATATGTCCTGTCAGGTGGGACAGGATTCCTTTCCTGTACAGTCGGTGTCAATTGTTATTCAATAACCAGAACCCTGAAGTTTTACCACAGACCTCAAAGGCACATTCCCTGTAATAGAGTCACTCAAGTTTCAACAGTGCGTACTTTCTACAGAGTTTTCTTGCAATAATCATGAACATCTAGTATTAGTTGTGTTATTCTGTATTTTATGTAAGTTTTCTGTTGACTATGAATTTAGATTTTGGTTTAGGATATTTTTTTTCTCTAAGTGCACCTTAAAAATGAGAGAAAATAACGAAATGAGAAAAGATGTGCTCCTCCTCCCAAAAAATGTGTTTATTTTTTAATAGAATCAATTGCAGACCTTGATGTCAGGAGACTGTTTTTAGCTGATATTGGTTTATGACGTCTCAGTTACTACTGCCAGTATTCAAGAGGAAACCTGAAATTTCCAGCACATAAAAAACTTTTCAGTAAAGTTTTGTGTGTAACATTAACACCTTTGTAATGCAAACCAAATGCACATTTATATTTATATCGGGCACAAAGTATCATTTAAAGGTAAGCATTTGTTATTATTTTGTATTCTTTGAGTAAGAAACCTAAAACAATAAATAGATTCCTTAGTTCAGTACTGGCCTAAAACAGTTCTGAAACAATCATAACAGTCATCTTCCATTACACTTGAAAAACTGCTGCTCTGACAGTGATTTAATCATCGTTTATCAAAGTTTTACGGCATTAGATGTTAAAAAACTGTCGGATTTTTTTAATGGCTAATCACGTGAATCTTTAGCTTCTGCCTTTAAACACACTGCAGTCGTTTCCATTAGCTAGTGTAGTTTATTTTAGCACATCACAGTTTTTTTTTGTTTTTTTTAAATCTCAACACAATTAAACAACTCTGCTGACAACCCTTTCTTTTTGTGGGTTGCCTACAATTACTCTTTCTGTTGAGTCGTGCTTTGTAGTTACACTTTGGTGCTACGCAGACACCTTTACACTGTTGTTTGTTGCCACTGTTGTAGATCATGACATATTTTATAGGGTGGATGTTTGGTGTGTTTTTTCCTAACAGCTCAGTTTGCCTGAAGTGTCTTTGTGTGATCTGAATGTTATTTCTGAATGTCTAACAGTTTAGCTACACTCGGGGAATTTATATGATTTTACAAGGTGCATCCTCTTGTTCTTATCCCCCAAATCATCTTCATCTGCGCATCTGTTATAAACTACCTAAGCATGCTTATCTTTTCTCCCTCTCATTTCATTACACAAAATCCCAAAGAAACCACTGGGCGGGATCAGTTAGTCCCAGCCAGCTCTGTGGTTTTCTTGTTCTTTATTAAAGTGTAATCAAACATCGGTTTAAGTGGAAAATAAATATCCAGATCTAATAAGCTGCTCAGCCGGATCATGTAAATGCAAATTTTCAAGCTGGTTCCTATCCGTCCCACTGAGGGGAGAACAAGCCACAGCAATCGCCTCCTCCACCCTCGATTGTAAATCAAGGAAAATAATGGTTGGATAATGACCGGTTTGCGGTCCCAAGCAGATTGAATGATAACAAACCTCGCATGTTGCACGCAGCTTTTCATTTAACATCCTATCATGGGGAAAGCCGGCGAACAGCTTGGTGTGGCTCATTAAAGGGGTTGTTGATGCCTTGTAAATTTTGTGGAGCAAAGGGTTGAAAATTCACAGGACAAACTTCCTGATAGGGTAAGACAGGGTTTATTCCCCACCCATAGGGGCCTCCTGCGCCGTCGCAGGGAGCCGGATGATCTGAGAGGACCGGTGAGCCGCCGACTGCATTGCAGTTGTCTGTTTTCTAATGTGAAGGAGTAAGAGTGTGAATGAAAAGAGACGAATACCCACTTAGACAAGCACTAAATAATAGACATATAAATTGCTTCGCTTTCCTGTTTGGGGAGATGCTGATTTAGCTGCTAATTGGTGACAGAAACTGTCAAATGGGTGGCAGATAGTGATTGTGGTGGCTTCTGTCAGGATTAGGTGAGAGGGAAGAAAAAGCGTGCTTTCTTCTGGTGAAGGCAAAGACAATATGACGGCAGTCCCCTCCCTTCTCTTGTCTGATATTTACCCAAAACACATTAAACAGATAAAGAAGAGAAAAGAAACAATAAGCTCGGGATTATGGACCCTGTCTCTTGCCTTCGTCTTGTGCTCTCATGTCTTCCCTTTTTTCTCTCCTCTAAGCTGTCTCTGTGATTGATTAACGTGTTTGTTTGAAGAAATTTTGAATGTTTGCTTGCACAGTGAAACACACAGACATACAAATACACGCCGAATCTGCTCAGACGCTCGCACGCACAGAGACAATGAACTGGCTGTAAGCAGAGAGACGGCGAAAGAGACGGATAAAGACTGACTGACTGATCTCTCGAGGGCATCTTCTTCTAACTCTGCCTTGACTCTCCTCCCTTTTCTCTGGAGCATTAAAATGAACAGTAATTAGGCTTTGATACTCTGGCAAATGAACAGTAATTAGAGTGTGCTACTGTGGATCCTCTGCCTGAGCTGCTCATTGAATATTCACACCATTATTGAACGTTAAGATTAGCTTGCCGCTGTCATGCACAAACAGTGTGGCATGGCAACGGCCCTTTGCAGATGGTGTTAGGGGGATGGTGGAGGCAGTGTGTGTGCGTAGACAGGTCGCCCAAGCCTGGCGGACCCTCAGAGGGGATTTTCTGGTTATTAGATCCTTGCCAGATCATGGGCCAATTATAAAGAAAACTGTCAGTCAAGGCAAAGTGGCTATGTGATTAGCGGAAAAGGACAAAATCAGGTGAGGAGTGTGAATCTTTCTGGAGGCAGCTTTGATTTGCTAATAAGAGGGAGAGGGAAAGGACCGGGGCAGGGTCCCCA